AAGGGGTAACTTGCAAAAGTAGAGCCCTCTGGGCGAAAAATTCGTCCGTTTTGCTCTATCTTTTACCGTTTGGGCGCTAGAGGGAGTTTCTCTCACAAAAGTGGCCCAAATTTTGTTTTATTAATTTCCGAAAATATTGAATGGTCTCCTAAGGGGTAACTTGTCAATGAAGAGCCCTAGTGGCGAAAATTTCGTCCGTTTGCCTCTATCTCTAACCGTTTAGGCACTAGAGTGTCTTGTTTGACGAAAATAAGTTAAAAATAGCTGTAGTGAACAATTAAATGTAAAAGAATGCCGAGAACTGCAAAAGAGGTGAGATACTCCCTCCCCCAGCCCAAGAAACGTTTTCTAAGCAGAAGGGTGGGTTGTAGTCGCGGTGTTTCACCGTTACATCCCTTTCTCGTGTCTACGGAGCAAATCTTAAGGACGACTGGCTTTGCGGGCCGAAGGCCCGTTACATCATTTGATTATGTTCTACAGCAAATCGCGTGACAGAAATGGTCGGGCCGCAGGCCCGACCATCGCCGCCGGCAGGCCAAGCAGGCCCGGCCCCTGCCGAACGGAGTTGCCGGCGCAGCGAAGCGAAGCTGGCAACTTCGTTTGGCGGAAGGGCGGGCCTGCTTGTTTTTCGATATTTTACCGCCGATTTTGGCGAGAATTGGCAAAAATCGGCCGGAATCGGGAAATAGCGACGAAAATCAGACAAAGCCAGGATAAAACGAAAAAAACTAGAGAACAACGAAAAGTAAGCGAAACAATCGGAATTTTTCCGCATTTTTCTGATTTTTCGATTCTTTCCTCATTTTGACCGATTTTGCCTTCATTTGGATTGGATTCGGATGATTTTTATAGATTTTCGCCGATTTCCGCTAATTCTCGTCAGAATCGGCGGGAAATAATCGGAAAAAATCAGAAAAAATCTGGAAAAAAATGGGAAAATCAGAATTTTTTTTAACCGTAGCCAGTGATCACTTTTAGATGATAAACAGCGATTTTGGCCCACTTGATGCGGTTTCTGAAAATGCTGAATTATAATTGTTGCGCCTGGTCGCTATGCAACCCGCCCCGGCCGATTGGGTGGGCAGTGTCGTGGACAGTGGCACATTAGACCAACATGACGGGACCACGAGAACCATCGTAGACGATAAACAGCGATTTTAGACTACTTTATACGCTTTTTTTAGAAATGCCGACTTATGATGGTCGCGCCTGGTAGTTGTGCAACCCGCCCCGGCCGACCAGGTGGGTATTTCTCTGAGCAGTGGCACACTACACCAACACGACGGAACCTTGAGAACCCCTCGGGAACGGCCTCAGTCGGTTTAGGAGTCCAGCAAACATCGAAAAACCTCGAAACTAGGCCACAAGAGGCCATTTTTTGGCCCCTGGAAGGCTAGCAACCCATCCTATAGGTTCAACGGAGGGTGGTTCTCAACAGAGGGATGTCACGCGGTCACAGGGAGCCTTCAAATGTCGAAATCGAGCGAGATTTGGCGATATTATGGCAATTTAGGCGTTTGAAGAAAAGTTGAAATCTTTGAGAGGAACGCGCATAGGCTCACTGTTAAAAATGTTATTAAAATTCATAACATTTTTGTTATTAATTTTAATAACATGCGTGATTTCATAACTGGTGTTGTGAAAAGTAACAATCATGTTATGAAAATTCATACGAGTTGTGAAAATTAAGAAATGTTGTGAATTTTCTCAACAAGTTATAACTTTTATGAAACTTTTCTGAAAAGTCATAACTGTTAAAGGTTCAAAAAATATCGATTTGTTGTACATGTGTACTACCGCAGTAGTTCTACCAATATTTCGCACGCGTATAGATAAGTACATGCGCAAATTTCGAAATAGAAGGACGGGAAGCTAAAGTCGATGTTGCCAGCGTTCGCCACCAGATGGCGTTTCAAATCTTCGGGGAATGTTGAGTACAAATAAATGTCTATATTCTCTAACGATATCGGAATTTGAACATAGTTTTTGACTTTTTCAGAATAAGAACGGTTATCCTCACATCGTCTGCATCTTTAACGTTAACATTCGACACATAGTATGGCGTTGTCGCTTAGTAACATTTAGCTCGCGCTGATAATATACAACGGCCTCTCACCTAGGGTGCTGACCCGTCACCCTCGAGTTGTGCCTGACCTTTCGTAAGAAAAGGAAGCATCAGGCACAGTAATCTTTAACAATTGTCAACTGTCTAATATGGTTGTGACACTTACAATGGAAGCATATATGCAGTACAATCCCCGGATCTTTTCTGATCGATTCGAAACTCTCACAATCTCATGTTGTTACTTTTCACAACATATGTTATGAAATTTCATAACATAAATGTTATGACTTTTCATAACATTTTTGTTATTAAATTTAATAACAATGTTAGTGTTAATGCTTCACAAAAATGTTATTAAATTTAAGAGAAAATTTTTTAACAGTGTAATTTTTCGAAAATCGAAAATCACCGGGACACGTAAGCTTTTTTTTTTGACGTAGAACCGATTAAGACCCGGCGCGGAACGCCATATTCAACTTGACTTTTTCCTGGGACAGTCTAATGGGACATGCATGTTCGCTACCTGCTTCCGCAGGTTATAACGGCAAAAAGGCGGATATACATACAGCCTACCTTCTGGAAATATATTTATCTTTTTTTACTCCTTCCTTTTAAAATTTTCCTTTTCGCCTCCTCTTTTCCCCTTTCTCTTTCGCTCTCCCTTCTCTTTCTCTCCCTTTCCTCTGTCTTT